ATAAAGATTGGATAGTACTTTTTATATTCCCATTAACGTATTTTTCTTGGATTGTTAAAAAGAGGTGAGATAGCTGGGCATCGTACACTCATTAAATGAAAAAAAAAAAAAAAAAAAAAAAAAAAAAAAAAAAAAAAAACCAATAAATTTTCTAGAACAAAGGCCGAATTATATGTCCTTAAGATATAACCCACATATTAGTCATTAATACCAGTGCCAGCATGAGCCCCCACCATCTTCCCACCAAGGATCTGAAGCCGTTTGCTCCGCTGCATATCAGCTTTCGACCGTGGTAACTGCATACCGTTTGCTTCCTGAACCAACAAACCAATTAATGCTTGTCTCACATTTATGCATCTGATTTTGGGTGTTCTCAACAATATGGTCTAGGGTACTTGAGAGCACATGATTTATGGATCTAATTTTGGGTGTTCTCAACAATATAGCCTAGGGTTCTTGAGAGCATATATGGTTGTCAAAATCGGACCAGACAAGCAGTGTAACCGGTTGGTTATTGGTTTAACCGATTAAACCAATAAATATAGTTAATAACCATACTTATAGCTAAATAAGAGAATGAGTTTGTCTATCTTAAGCATGAGATAAGAAGTAATTATCATGTAATAATTGTAGTTGTTTCTTGAAAAATGTAAAATTTTAAATTGAAAAGAGAAGTTTGGATTTTGAATTCAAAATGAATCAATAAAAAAACTAACAAATGACATTTACAATTAAAACAAAAGTTAATTTTATCTTTTTTAAGATAAATTATTATTATTATGCAATAATTACTTTTTATCTTATATCTTAAAATTAACCTCCATAAGAGAGAATTGATATGAATATTATAGAATGTAAAGTTGTTTTTCAATATGTTTTGTACCTAAAAACATCAATTTGTGCTAGTGTAAGGACAAAAACACCATTAGTGATTTTTTTTCAAGTCTGTTTGATTCATTAAGGTGTGTGTGTATATATATACTGACATTTATTGTTAGAATGCTTTAGAAGAAATTTTTATATATTTTGATAATAATCCTTTTTCAATTAGTTTTAAAAACACCCTCATATCTGCCTAATACATTCAAAAAAAATTATCTTTTTTAATATGATTTCCAAAACTTAAATCCCATATTTAGTTTATAGAACAATATTTACTTATCAATAAATTTAATTATTGAGGTTATTAAGTTATTTTTATTTTTTCTAATATAAGTTAAATTGATGTTTTTTAGTACAGAACGAGAGAACTTTTTTTTTTTTTTTATGAAAGAAATAATTTGATTATAATTAGTACGTTGAAAATAAATGAATGTAGGTACGAACCTGTTGGATGCGCAGAAGGTGATGATATAGTCGGATCCGGTGCAAGTGAAAATGCTGGTTGGATCATCATAGGCATAACTATATGCAGTGGGGCATGCATTCTTGAACTTCTTGGAGTAATACGTAGGTTGGCAAACGGCAGAATTCCCATAAATTCCTCTGCAACAGTACTCATCCGTGTTGAACACATCGCACGCGCTCCGGCAAGCAATAACCTTCCCGTTAGACTTCACCGACAACTCCGACGGGCAAGTTTTTCTCAGGTCCGACTCACATCCAGCCGTACTGCAATTTCCCTTGCCAAAGGCCTTGACTACAATTGGCAGATTAAAGCCATCAACGAGGCTCACATCGTAGAAATCGAGGTTGGCAAGGGTGAATTCGGTAAGTGATGCCGGAGTTTCGCCTGAGCCTTTACACTTGAGGGTGTTGCCGCAGTCCCCGGTCTGGCAAGAACCATTGCCGTTTTTATCGAACTTGCAGCCGGTTCGACCCCATATGCGACCGCTCCACCCGACTGGAGCATTGAAGACGACCGATTGGCCTGACTTGAGTTCAAAGCCACCACCGTTGAAGTTATCTCCTGGGGTCACCCCCGGCCAGATGGTTTCCTTGCAGTCGTTTATTATTGTGAAAACTCTTGCACCTTCAGCCGCGTTTGGTCCTGCCGATGCAACACATTTTTAGAAAATTAATATTCATCCGATATGCATAATAATTACTAGATGCAATACATTTTGTGGACTATGTTTATTAACATAATCCGATATGGAAATTAATCTCTAAGCTAAACTTAAAAAAAAAAAGGTTAATTAAATAATTACCAGATGAAAGAATGGTTATGAGAATCAAAAGAAAGGATGAAAAAAGGTGAAGACGAAATGCCATATCTGTTTATCTGTAAATGTGCACGGAAGATTTGGGAATTAAGGGATATTAGGGAAGAAAATGCATGATAGATTTAATTTAAAGGGAAAGGTAGGGAAGAATACGTGCCGAGGGAGAATTTTTAGAAAACGAAGTTCTAACCCTTATATGAATGCCTTTTGGAGAAGTGTGAAGAGATTCCTTTCCTAATCCTTTCATGCAAGTTTATTCAGGTTCCATTCTCTTTTCTGCGTTCAACTTTCAGACCATCTTTATGTCCGACAGAATTTATTAGATCCCACACGTTATCGTTTTTATTTAATTTAAAATCAATTAATAATAAATTAAGCTAAAAAATTTTCTTTTCATTACAGTAATCAATGTGTAATTCTCTTACTTTTTAACATCTGTAACATGGTGCACATCAAAAGGGTGGCATTATGGTATTTGAAATAGTCCCCAACGAAAGAAGAGTTGAGTCGGTAGGCAAAAAATGTACCAACTCAGCTAAGATAAGTCAATATGGAAGAGAGAGACTTACTGTATTCGTGTTTGGGCTATTGTTTCTTTCATTGGGCTGTCTCGTGTCCAAATGCAATTGGGCTAACTGGCTGAGCCTGCAAATGAAATTGCTCAGCCATGATTGGTTTTCAGCCCATGAGGGTTCCAAGTCGATGGGTAGTATGGTATTGATTTTGATTTCTTGTCATCCAAACAAAACCGATTGAAAATCATGGGATGATCAATTTGGAAAGTAGAGAAGATCATAAAATTGATGTATGAGTAAAGAGTCAAAGTGGGGTAATAATGCATAAGCTTTTTATCTTTAGGCAGTCATTTTGGTCCCCCATCTTTTGAAGCTTTTCACATGTATGGTCGGTCGAGATGTGTGCCCATGTTAGAAAAGAAAAAGAAGGAACCATCGACACGAAATTTACCAACTCCGCTAAGATATTATGAGCGATTTTCAACTAATAGGTTAGCTATTATATCTTTATCAAAAAAAGAAAAAAGAAAAAAAAGGCTAGTTATATCAATTAATTCGGGTGTTAGTTTGTCATTGTATTTGTCCATCAATATATTGGCCTTCATTGAGTGATTATAACCATTGAATCAAATCATACCGAATTAGTAATTATTGGTCTAAGCATATGATATGATGAAGTTTTAAAAGACGGAAAAGGAAATACCAATAGTTTTAGTAATTTTTTTTCACAAAAGTAAGAAATCATAAATTTAAATTATAATACATGAAGATAAGGTGAATTGAAAAATAAAATTAATGT